GCTGTTTCAAGCCAGCGCCCAACATCTTTAACCGTATACACAGTAATTTTATCAACTTACAATTTTGATCATTCTGGGAGTCGGGATCGAGAGATGAATCGGGAGATGATCTCTGACTACCCTAAGCTCTGCTCTGGTCGGGTCTGCGGACGGCAAGCAAGGGTAGCCTCCCGACAGGGCCGATGTTCAGCTGGGGTAGAACAGCAGAATGAACGGTGAGGTTAATTCAGTGAGAGTCAGACGTCAGAGTCAGGGAAGTCATTTGAATATTTTCCACTCACAAAAACAAACAATTTCGAGCACAATAGCTCCATGTATATGTATACCTATAAATTTGAATGGATACAACAAATACGTATATTAATAGTAGTAGGTAATAGATTAATTGGGTAAGTCCTATCATATAAAGTGTGTAGTTAAATCATATAACCTATAAAAAAAACAGGTTTTTATTCCACGTTTCATAGAGAATGGAAACTTTATGGTTATAACGTAAATATGACGGAATGTTTATTAAACATGTGGCTAAAATTATGTTTAACTCATAAACTTTGTTTTGTTGTAGGTCACCGTTTATGTAGATTTTTATAGCATTTTTGTAGTAACTTTACAAAGGTGGCTTGGTATATTTTATTTCAAGTTATTTGATTAATTTAAAACTAGTCCAATTCTATACTTTTGTTTTTTTTAAACGATACTCACTATTCTATAATTTCTATAAGAGATAATGTTATGTTTTTATAATAACTATCGTGAGACATACTAAATTAACTAAAAATCGCGGGTTACTCACGTGTAAATATTGAGAAAAGCTCTACTAGTTTCCAACCACAGAGGGGTTCTTCCTCATGAGCAGCGTGCGCGGACGCGGCGACGTCGCGCAGCCTACTGAGAGATAATGTTTTACATCGAATTGTATAAGTACTTATTTCAGAAAAATACGAGTAATTTCCTAGAACTATGTGTATCGCAAATATGATTTATGTATTGAATTATTATTTGTAGATATTGAAAACTTAAGGGGCACTGCCGAATCCGATCCGATCGATCGTGTGTCTAGTTTTAGATTTATGCCTTTATGGCGTTAATAGTTATTAATTTTTACTTTTATTTTAGTTTCATCACTATTTAAAATAACATATTAAAAAGATAACGTCAACATGATTTATTTAAATAATATGTCACTATGTTCACACTCTCATCCGAATACCTAATATTAACTACAGAATATTACAGAAATACCTACCTTAATTATCATTCATTAAGGTAGGTATTCCTTGAAATTATATTAAGATTCTCCTGTCCTTAATAATGGCGATGTCGAAATAAATCAATTTATCATCGTTATAGAATAATTTGAGATTCACTCAAGTTTGCCTAAACACCGGATTAAATCATACGGAAGATGAATATTTTCAATAATATTAGCATTTCAGAATACTATTAAGTATTTTATAAATGATTGGAAGAGGACGAAAATGGAATAAATCCATTAATTCACAAAGTTCTGTAGAGTCAGGAAGTGAGGAATCGAGATTTTTATGGGAAAGTGATTTACTACGAAGTTAGTTGCTCTTCTCGATTTTTCATTGATTCATTAATATAAAGCGCACTAATTAAATTTAGTAGACGAGGATTGAACTGAAAAATAGATAGGATTAAAACAACTAAGATCGATTAACTGGAAAAATAACTATTATTACACCTGCTCATAGTATTTAAAGTAAAACAACTGTAGATATTATGATATAAAACACATTCTTTAGGTACATTGAGAGTCCTTTTTTCATGTTTTCTGATTCATAATACAAAGAAATCAATGGCTACCGTTATCCATACCGCTATGGAGGGCTTAATAAAAAAATATAGAATTTATGGATAAAAATGGGAGCTTTACATTGAAATGGGTTTTAATGACTGCTCATTTGTTTACCTTTATAAAAATATCTATTCGATCTGCTGCCATAAAAATTTATAATTCAATAGAATACAGCGTTCATTAATGCTATAGAACTGTAAAATCTTTTGACCTTTTATTTAAAAAAGGTTATAGGTATAATTTTATCTTTGCATGTGTATGTATGTATACACATGTTTTTGCGAATAAACTTTGAGTTGTAGTAAATTAATTCTAAATTCATACACAAATATGATTTATAGAAATCATTTTTCCCATCTTATGATCAATTAATAATAAAAGAAGTACAGTGCCCTTACTTACCTACAGAGTTATTCCCCGCCTCTTACATACACAGAAGTCGTATTAGAAGACCAAACTAGTGATCCTATTATTACTATACAAAAATACTTTTAGATTACTGCTACCTAATTCAAAGTTAATGTTAGGTTATGGAACAGCTGAATGCCCACATAAATAAATATTGTCAGGATTATTTCAATATATGAATAGGACTAATTAATACTTATTATCTTACTACTATGTATAACATCAGTTAAGTTATTAGATAGAGTAACATATAGTTAGAAAACAAGCTAGCGGAGTCTGCTTTGTATTGAATTGCAACATAATAATATAATGTAATTAGTAGATTAGTTAATGAAAGATCTATATCTGAACTTAATGAATGAATAATTGACATTGACACCAATAGAATGTCAAATGATTTTAATAAGTATACCAAATTAAGAAAATTGCTAAACAAAATACAAATTTTAAATTAAGAACACATTTTTTTCTAATACTTATGGCGTCACTTCTCGTCTACTATATCGCATATAAGGTAATAAAAAGGCTTCTCATTAAAAAAAAATGATATCTTAATATATTCGGCAGTATCGAGTAGAACATTGATTGATATGGATTTGAATTGAGACATGCACAGATACCGACAAGTTGACAACTTTAACCTGATGTGATGGACATGAACTGTCACAGAGCCGAGTGTGATGTCCATCACAGGGATCGATGGAGAGATTCAAGACTTTTTGGCAAAAGGTCAAATTTAGGTAAATTCATCTGCATAATTAATGCACATCAAGTAGCAATTATTGTAATACATTTTAAGGCAACGAAAAACGTGAAAGGTCACGAAATGTTAAAATTTTAAGTAAGGGTAAAGAAAGCTGATTATTTATTCATTGGATACCTAGTCTACGTGTGTTTACTTAGAACCTAAAAATGTATTTCAAACTTGTCAAGCTTATAACTATTAAGAAAAATGAAAATTGAACTTTAATACTAAAACACAAGTACCTAATTCCACAATTGAGAGATGCAAAGTCATTAATAACAACCAGTCCCCGCACAAAGGCTCAATTATTCGATAATGACTGAACACTATCCATCAGATTCATCCTCTAATGAATAATTACAACGCTGTATATAAATGCTTTTAAACTAAATTCACGTCAACAAATAATTAATTGGTTCACCTAATCATTGGATTCGCGGTAAATTAAACTGTGGCCCAAGTTACTTAATTAATACTTAAACCTTTTGTGACATGAAGGACGTTGATTGTCGATCATTTATTTCCCCGGTGACAGGTTCATGAACGATTGCTTTTATATTAAGTATTTTTGCAGGACTAATCCTTAGATTGGATTTTGATTACATGAAAACTATTAGTAGGGTGTTTTATATACATATATTTTATATCATATGGACTGATACGTGTATTAACGTATTTGTAGATAACTATAACATAGTATTCGCTAGTTTTTACAAGCTTTTATTTCTTTGTTAATTAAAAAAGGGGGGGATATATGTAGATGGCTACATACTGGCACTTATAATAAACAGTTCTGGATCAAGAGTCCATTGCCATAAATTTGATAAAATCTGAACACTACAAATACAATTTACAACCAAGTCTGTAATAGTAATGCAAATAAATACAAGAGCAACGAATCTAACTTTGCATTTCAGACTCATACATCCAAACTATTTTATCATAAAGGCGAATGTAACTCTCTGTTTGTCTTTTCTTCACGCCTAAACTACTTAACCGATTTCTGTGAAATTTGGTAGAGACGTAGTTTGAAATTCGAGAAAAGACATAGGATTTTTTTATACCAATAATCTGCAGGAATTCACTATTCCACGCGAACGAAGTCACGGGCAAAATCTAGTAGTTAATAAACCAAATAAATTAAGCTACAATCTCAGCAATTTTGGATTACGCAGGACATGGAATGTCACTCAGTCTGCGAACAGATGGACAGACAGACAGACAGGCTGACGGTTATTTACATCGCATTGATTATCGCGACACCACAACGCATTTAACGATCGATAGAATAAAATGTAAGCCGACTGAACTTGATTGAAAGCGATGTGTGTAACGTTTTTCGTTTAAGTAGGTAATTTAATTTGTAAATTGGATGTGTGTAATTGTATGTGTATTTCTGAGTTGTTTATTGAGTTTGTATTTCATTTAGTCTCGTTTTGAATCCTTAAATAGATCAAAGTTTAGTAAAAGTTACGTAAGCACAATATTTTGTTCTGATGTTTTCAAGTCAATCTGTATTTTATTGTGTTTATTCAGACTATAAATTTATATCTATGCCGAATTTCGTTCAAAACCCTTTTAGTATTTTTTACGTAATAGAGTTACAAACATCCGTACTCACAAATTTTCATTTATAATAATAATTTATCTCTGCATCACCCAAAGGTTAGTCGGTCAGAGAATGCCCATGACATTAAGCATTTTTTAAAGGATATATTAGCAATCATAGGCTGATGATGATGAAGAAAATTTAATGAAAAGGTGGTCATATTATTATGTGTGTGTGCCAAACACATAATTTCGTAAATTTAGTAACCTTTAAATCTTCAGTTCATGAAAGAACTTAAGTTGGTTTGATGTAGCACTTAATATATTATGACCTTTTTTTGTGGGTAGACAATCATCGACTTAATGACTTGATTTGATGACTGACTGATTTTTCTCACTCTGGGTGAAGCAAGAGAAATTGTCCTACTCTTACCTCCAACTGTGCTAAATAGATATTATTAATGTTCAATTATTTTCTAGGTATTCGACATCCTCTGGTCTGATCCTCAATGCACCGGTGGTTGTGTGGCTAATGCTCTTCGTGGTGCTGGAACCTACTTCGGGCCAGATGTGACAGCAAACTTCTTGCAGAAGAACAAGTTGAGTTTCCTCATCAGGAGCCATGAGTGCAAACCTGGTGGATATGAGCTACTGCACAATGGAAATGTAAGTTCTAAATATGTACATGTAAAAGTTTCCTAGCTTTACCTTCCACTTAGCGTTTAGGATTGACAGCGATGATATAGGATGGATAGCGATAGACTAGTCTATGCATTTATTTACACAATTATTTTTTATCCTATTTGTAAAGTTCAATAAATCGTAGAAATCATTATTTCATGCAAATAATTTATTATCATTCTAAAATAAGAAAAATGTAGGTGCCTACTGCATTATATTCTACCTCTAAAACTGTCAAAAATGGATTTCGTTATCTCAAAAGATAACTCTCCTTACCAACGTTGAACCTTACACTTGAGACTTCATCGATAATAATTAAAAACCAATTTGATTTTCCCTACACTTTTCATAGAATCTGCACCGGACATTTTAGATTGAAAAATGGATAATATCTTTTGGTTTCCTTGCTGTCATAAAATGTTGATCAAAATTGTTACCGCTGAGTGTGCAACGAGTTCTTTCATAAGTATGTTATAAACGAAATTGGCAGAGCTCGCATTTGCATATTTAAGGACCAGCTTCATTTCATTCTTAAGCCACGAAGCGTGGTTATTTCATCAGTGAGTTGGCTCGTTTCTCTTGGTTTATAGACACATATAGCATAAAATGTGCATCTAGCTTATACAGCGTGTTTCGTTACGAAACAATATAATTATAGTGCGCTAGTTTGCACGCGAAAATTGGAAAACGTAATTGGATTCCCCTCTTTTTTCAATGGAAAAACTATATTCGTATGCTAATGTTTGTAGCGCGGACTAAGGTCGTGTTAATTACATCACTACTTATTCTAATTTGATGAGTACATGTATCTGGGGATATGAGTTTCGAAATATATGTTTATTTTATTATAATTAACCTATTGCTATTATGAGGGTGGAGTAATGACACCCGAGTGGGGAATCCAAGTCCCATTCCATCTGTTATAGAGGAACTCACGTCGGCCCATCCAACATTTACTAGACGATTACGCCATAAGTTCATGGTCAACATTAATTAGTTTCCCTTGTGGCAGGTGATAACAATCTTCTCTGCATCGAACTACTACGAGTTAGGGTCTAATAAAGGCGCTTACCTGAAGCTATGTGGGAACTCGTTGGAGCGTCAGTTCGTCCAGTACACTGCCGCCGTGTCTCGTACTCGACGGCTGACTTTCCGTCAGAGAGTGGGCCTGGTTGAATCTTCCGCAATGAGGGAACTGCACAACCAAATTATGATGGTTAGAAGACCCCTGGAAGCCAACTTTCGTAGTATGGACCTGGATCAAAGTGGTTCGTATATTTTGAATGGTTCAATTCCCAAACTTGTTAACATAGTTACGCACTTTGTAAATATTTTTCTTTTTATCTGATATGTTAGTAAAATAAACTTGTTAGATAAATATCATTGCTTATAAAATATTTTTGTAAGTTAATGTGATATCAACTTAACAAAAGTTTACAAAAGATTTTTTTGCAAAGACAAACACCGAGACACATTTTAGGTTTTATTTTGTTAAGAAGCTATCCTTTGGGGCTGTACTAGCCTAATTGACGTAAAACTTAACTTATTGAGATAAATGTTTGTAGGTTACATATCGATCAGTGACTGGTGCCAAGCGATGGAAGAAACCACGCATTTAGGGCTTCCCTGGAGAATGCTGAAGGACAAGTTGGTACGAACAGATCCCGACACACGTCGCGTACGCTACATGGACACATTCGACTTGAACACCAGCGTAAGTGAAACAAGATTAATACTACCGTAATGCTAATACAGAATACACATCAATTTCAATACCAAAAGATATACCAAAAAATGTACGTATTTGTACGTAAAAACATTAGTATTTATGTTACGAGATCAAATAGTCTTCCGAACAAAGCCAACGACTTTTACAAACAACAATGTCACATTAACAACGGTTGTATAAATAATCTGATGTTACAATATCGAATTTCTTTTACAGAAAATTGGTCGTAAAACTGACTCATCGAATGTTGTCGAAACATTATACAAAAATAAGAGTAGTTTGGAAGCCATTTTCAAAATATTGGACAAAGATAACTCAGGTAAAGTTAAAATCGATTTTAGTGTAAATATTATATTCCGAGAATATTGAATCAGTATTAATTGAAAATTTCATCTCAGGTTTTATTACGCTCGAAGAATTTTCGGAAGCCTGCCAGCTAATTGGCAAATATATGCCGAATCCTATGACGCAGGAACAGTTGGTTGATATTTGCCGTTTGATGGATATCAATAAAGATGGATTGGTAGATCTGAACGAGTTTCTAGAGAGCTTCCGGCTCGCTGAAAGGAGTTTACAATATGAGGAGAACGAGATAGCCGAGATACAAGCCACCTGACAGGAACTAGACCGCCGGCCGAGCAGGACGGCGGTCGATAAAGATGAAACAGGTGTTCAAATTGAGGTTCTCAAACTAGAAGATGACGATAAAAGCAAAAGTTCAAAGAATAATACAAATGGACAAGCACATCTGATGGGCGAGAGCGTGGGTGCGGCGAACCACCTGGACGACATCGAACTGATTGACTGCGAGGAGACGGCCACGGCGACCACGCGCCGCACTCGGCCCGGTCTGCTCGAGAGCGATATCTAATATATTCACCACATTACAGAGTCTTACGGGATTGTTACTAGTTCCGTGCCATGTTCTGCAGCATTATATCGCTCATTCTCCACTTCTGCTGTATTTTACTCCATTACCAATTGTCTGTAAGTTTGAATTTTGTTTACATCGAATGTTTAATGTACATAAATATGTATATTTTATTTTATTGTATGACAAACCTCTCTTTAGGTTACTTAGCTGTTTATAAGAATATTTGCATTTGCAACTTTGATCATTAATCTTACCATTGATATTTTATTGACTAAAAATTTTAATAGTAGCGACCTAAGTTAGTCTAGTATTTAATTTTGTAATATTACCGAGTCTATATTTGTAAAACTTTGTATTTGTAATATGTCCAAATATTTTATTGGTGCCAATATAAAAGCGTATTTTGTACATGTGCCGAGCTGGTCGGTAACTACACGAACAAATATATTTAAGTGCATCGTGAAAGTTTCATGATGCGATCAATTAACGAATGGGAACAATGATGCCGATGACTCTACAACTTTGTATTGGTGTATTCGCTGTAGCCACAATTACTGATTATTGTCTTAATAAATGTAGTGTAGTAACGTGCTATTTTCTAAATATCACCTGCATCAATTTTAGATTGGAATAAAATTAAACTTTTTCAAATAAAGTTCCTTATTACGATAAAATTTCTTCTTATTTAGGGCTACGATTAGATATTGTAATATATCTATATTTTCGTAATAAAAAATTGCAATTAATAAAATAATCTGTCTTAGCGTGTTTCTAGTCATTAGTAGAGCGATTTCTTATACATATCTTTATCCTCAATTATTAAGCATTCCAATCTATCGTTACCAGAAACGTCGCATTACATAATTTACTATCGAATGTAGTTGGAGTGTACCTGTTGGGCAGCATTAGGTAGTCTGATGAGTCTCGTGATTGTCATTGGCCTGCAGTAGGCGGGCTTCATATTTGCTAATCGAATCTAAAATTTTAATTATAATCGCTATATATTTTATGACTTATTATTACTCGTGTCGTTGACTTATAGAAATATATAAAGCTATTTGTTAAAGGAGCCTACTGACTCGTACCAGTTTTGATTTACACACGCATGTCACACAGATTATGTTTCGTACGATGCTATTTTCATAGCCATGTCAGCAGTCGAGCCGTCGAGTCCTGCTCCCGATCTCATCAAAACAAACAAGTCAGTATGCGCTTTAATTAAAATATATGAATTAAATATAAATATATCGCTATTGGAATTTACGAACTTCTAAAAACTTATTTTATATCTTATAATAAATAAAAAAAAGGTTATTTACGAAAATATTATAGCTAATATATTCTGTATTTTTAATAATTGTCCATTAAATTGTGATATTGGTATCGGTTGTTTGATTTTAACATTTTAGATATAAGTTTGGTGACTGCATTGCAGTGTCAAGCTTAGTGTGTCTACAGTGAACCTTCAAGGCCTTTTTAAAGTTTCAGAATGTGAAATATTTTTGATAATAGCAAACTTGTCATTTAAAAAAAAGTAAAAGTAAGTTTTTGAATTTAATTTGTAGTTAAAAAAACGAGTAAAGGCTTAAATTTTTATAAAACAATAAAAGCCGAGTTATATACATTTTTCATCACAATATTTGAGGGTTAATTAAAGAACCAACTTACTGATTCCAATAAAAATATATTATGATTTAAAGATTATTTTAGACGATTTCTAAACAAGATTACGTCTTTAATAAAATGCACGTTGGTTATTTTAGGTCCAGGTTTCGGAAAGTTCATGTTATTATCGTACTTATTTGATACAAGCTATAAAATAATATTGGAGTACACATATCCGTATCGGAAAAATCTAATTTCCTTCACACTTGCAGAGATATTACGTTCCGCATTACAATAAAACTTGTGGCAGAAGGTCAAGGAAAAGATAGATGAGTTTCATAATATTTATTGGCCTTGTGACGTAGTATTTCAGACTAACTCATACCATTCAGAATTAATAGTAGCTGTAAGAATCTTCTTTGAGAAGTGGCTAGAGATACGCCATGGCGTTCTCACCTTACACCTGACGCAGTTGCTAACCGGGCATGGAAGCTTCGGTAGGTCCCTGATTCGGATTCGGCAGAAGGAAACGCCCAAGTGTATTTATTGTGAGGACCATACGGAGTACACCGTGGAGCATACGGTTGGGGAGTGCATAGGGCAAGATACGTAGACTCTATAACATAGATAGATAACTGACAAATACCCACCTCATTCCATCTCCTGACACAGTTTGAGGCCGCGGTAGATTATGACCCAAAAAAAAAGTCTAATAAATTAATAACTAAGTACTTACATGTTAAGTGTAGTTGACTTACTGACTAGTTTTTGCGTAGTGGTATAACAATTTATATCGGTAGCTATATCTCGCTAATGATAGTCAAGGAGATGGAGGCATAACAACATTATATATGTATCTGAAAACTGAAATGATATAAACCTTACAATTCTGATCTCTAAATATGGTACTGTGTGTGTCTTTTCTGAGTATTAGTTAACAGATCCTTTTTTGTGTAATTAAGTTATAGCATAATAATATCATCTATTTATTTTAGAAAGGCTTGTAATAAAGTGCATTGCACAGTATATTGGTACTTATTATTTCCAAGCACGACAGGCGTTTGAACACCACAGTACTATAGTTTCAGATTTTTCAGAGAGTTCGTAATTGCCTGCTGATGAGCAAACGCCTCTTCTCACACATGGAAGCGTTAATCACCGCGCTTACTATACAAGACGCATTGGCGATTTATGACTTACCTATATTTGGAAATTATTATTCCTTACGATGTTTTCCTTCATGGCATGGTGCCAGTTTATCTTAAAAAGTATGTACAAAAGCTGCGAAAAAATTACTAGAAAAGTTATTGAGTTATTATAATTACCTATATATAGTATATACCTATACTTTTTTGAGGCCGGTGAATCGTCAAGGTAATTGGCGAAAAAAACCTGAAAAAAATAGAATATAACATTTCTCTTATAATTTGGTTTAAAAAAGAAACTGTTTATGACAGCTGAATGTACCATAAGTAGGGTCATGTTCCTGTTCCTCCGCTATAGAAACTTGACCCAGGGTAGGTAAGGTTTGTAAGGTTATAGAAACACGTTAAAATACTATTTTGTAAAGTTTCAAAATCTTTTATTAACACTACGTCAACAATGTCGTAATGTGTCATTTCGCCATAAGCTAAAAAAATAGGTACTTACCTACTCTTTTTTTATGTGGTAGACCGGCAATAGAGCTAATGGATTACCTGACAGTCAGTAATGACTTTGACTGCACGGTTGGCGCGGTAGCTGGGCAACTGGCTGCCGCGAAGCATGTCGCGGGTTCGATTCCCGCACGGAACAACTCTTTGTATGATCCACAAATTGTTGTTCCGGGTCTGGGTGTGATGTGTAAGTGAAATTGTATGTTTGTAAACGCACCTACGACACAGGAGAAGATACTAGTATGGGGCAACGTTTTTTATTAACAGAAAAGAAAGAAAGTAATCGACGTCGCCCATAAATACCCGCGATCCGTACAGGAGTTACGAGTGCGAACCCAACCCATCTGTGGTCGAGACATGATCTCCGGCCACCGTAAGCGCGGGTCTGCGGACGGCGAGTAAGGGTAGCTCGCCGCCCGACCAGAACCGGACCCGAGCGTACGGCGCGTAGCGTTCCGCGCGCGCCTCAAAGAGCCAATAGACCACCACAGTCGGGGCCCTAAAGGGCTGATGTTTAGCCGGGGCTGCGGGGTAAGCGCAATGAGGCACCGCGACCTCGGCCCACAGCAGGAGAAGGAACGGGGGGTTTTTAGTCAGTAAGAGTCTGACACTCTCTCTCGCCTTACCCTGGGCGGGAGAAGTCATTGGATGATTTTCCCCTGACAAAAAAAAAACCCTTCTGTGGTGGTCTAGGGCGCGCGTGGAAGGTCTAATTTCTTTTATTCTATAGTTATATTATTCAGAACTATCTTCATCACTAAATATTAGGCCTCTATCTTTCCTTTTGACATTTTTCATCCGTGATATTTTTAAACCAAACTATGTGATATTTCTTTCTATAATATTATATTTACTGGTCATAATAATATTATATTCGAAATATTTTCCACTAATTTAGGGTATGTTAAAGGTCACGAATGCCATCAACGGACCTATGAATTAGAAATCACACGACAGGAATAGAATTTCTTTATAATAGGTTTTTAACGTGAATTTTCGAAAACAAATTGAATGGTTTGTACCTAAGGTTAAATTTATCATTAGGTATTTACTGACGCGGGTGGTTGTTAAGTTCACCTGTCGCGGTCCAGACATGAGCAAGTCTACCAACCTCAATCTGCCTTTAGACTTTCTACCTTAGCTCGAGCAGATAAGGCTGAAACTCCATCAAAATTTGGTATATAAGAGTCAGGTCAGTTCATATTTTTATAAAACCAATGAGCCTGATATATTTTTATGTGCTTACGTAATCAAAGCTATAATTATCAATGATGATACTTTTTTAACGTGAGGGTTAGGTTGATAGGTTAGTATAGGTAGTATTAGACCTAAAATCTCTACGACAACCAGCCAAGCTGTTTCAAGGGTTTGGAGAGCACGTTAATATATAATAGATAATCTTTTAGTCACATTTGCTGCAGGTAGGGTGAACTCATCTAATTCTGTGACTCGCCTAATTCGGTGATATTTGGTTTGAGCGCTATCATAAGGCTATACGAGTGAAATCTAAGGTTTCAAATACAACCTTAAGCCTCAGTGATTAATCTCGAATTCGTATGTAAATTTTGAGGATGCTCGAGTGAGCGAGATAGAAACAGCTAACGGTTTTGTCAGTTCGGGCGCGAATTTCGGCGGTTTCCGCAGTGGTTGTGAATGGGTGGCGAACTTTGCTTCATGTATATAAGTATTTAACCCATTTTTTAGCTTCTTTCGAATAAAATGGATTGTATATGATATTCCCAGGGTGTGGTGGAAAAATCGTCAAAGTTCTGCGTCTTTTTCGTGTTAGAGCTTCAGCTTAGTTAGAAAACCCATTATATTTGAACAATAATAAAATAATAGTAGGATCCCAAATATGTATTATCAATGTCATTAAATTGAACCAAAAGTACAATTCAGGTCAAATGTAATCGAATTAAGAGACTCATTCCTTATTAGTCTTCCAATCTAATTCAAAGCAAAATGATCAGATCAGCATCAGATCTAATTAATAGTTTTAGACACATTATGCTGATTATAAGTTCTTGCTAATTACGGTTCTAGTCTTGTGTAGATACACGCATATTGAGTTCAGATCTAGACAATAATTTTATCGATGATCTAATTGCCGATATATTATTACTGTATTTATTCAAAACTAAGTTTCGCCTGCGGCTTCAAACGCGCATAAAAGTAAGGGATCCCGGGATTTTAAAATAAGGCAACGTTTAAAGCGATAGGTCGACTAAAATACACAAATCTATACTAATATTGACTACTATTGACAACCATTATCACCTACATATGTTTTGCGAATAAAGTTATCTTTATCTATTATAAAGAGGTAAAATATTAGAAGTTTGTACCTAAGTTTGTATGTAGGGGGTAATCTCTGGAACCGCTGTCTGGTCGGATTGCCAAAATTCTTTCACTTAAAGCAACAATATGCCTGAGTACTATAGGCTATAAAAAATTACGCTACGATCAAATAGAGTCGAGCAGCGGGTGAAACCGCGCGAGAGTAGCTAGTCAGGTATGATTTATAGCCTATAGGATTATTGTAGCTATCTATCAGTGATGGTATTTAGTAAATCCGACCATTTGCGGTTGCCATGATCACCTCCTACAGTCGTAAGTCGCGGCAACGTCGCGAGTCGCGCAGCTGCTCATGAATTTGCGTCCCGTTGTGAATTGTAACTAGTCGAGCTTTTCTCAGTTAATTCACGAGAGTAAGTTGTGTTTTACAATTGTAATTATTCAAAAAAGTGTATAATACTGTTTATGTAGGTAATTAGTAAAAATCAACGGTTTTTGTATAAGTAGGTATGTTACGATAAAAAATACACGAAATGGAACTTAACACAATTAGCCACAGCCAAGGTTGCGGGGTAAGCGCAATGAGGCACCGCGATCTCGGTCTAGAGCAGGGAACCGAACCGGGGGGTTTTTCATCATCATCATCATCAGCCTATACCTAAGTGCCCACTGCTGAGCAGAGGCCTCTTTTCATACAGAGAAGGTTAGGT